GGGGCCTTTCTAACCCGCGCTCGGGGACCAGCCCCGGCGCCCCAGCTCCCCGCTCTGCGGCAGCAGAGGGACGCTGAGCTTTGCGGGATCGTTGGGGCGGGGGAGGCAGAAGTGGCTGGGGCAGACCCTGGCCCCGCTGGGAAGGAAGCGAGCGTCTCGGAAACGTGCGAGCCAGAGGCTGCGGGCGCGGAGGGTGCAGCGCGCAGACGCCCAGCCGAGCGCAGTGTCCTGCAGCGGGGGTGCTGCCGCCCTTCCTCCTCCGCGGGCCGCCCGCGGGGCCCCAGCAGCCCGGGACGGGACGGTGCCTCGAGCGCAGCACCTGGCGCAGCCCCTGCGCGGCGAGCGTCGGTGTCAGGAATTGTCAAAGGGACACACAAGACAGGCAAGTGACCCGCCAGGCTGGGGTGCTGAGCGGTGGTTTCCGACTTGGTCCCCGAGGTCCCCGTGAGTGCGTGGAGACGGGTGGGCGTGGGGCAGGGAGCGTGGGGGGAAGCCGGGAAAGAGAGTCCGCCGTCAGAGAAGGAGGGTGGGGAAGAGTGAAACGGACCCGCAAAACATGCTTATGCTCTGCACACACAGGCCACTGAGCTCGTCTCCTGCGTCCGGATGTTAGTGACAGCGCCTTGTAATATCCTGAAATTTCAGCAACAGAAACCCTATCTCAGCGCCACCACGCACGGACAGTCCGCGATCAGCGTGCGTCTCACAAAGGGAGCGGAGAGCAAGCTGCGCGTGCTGCGTCCACGCTGCGTGCGCTGCGGCGTGTGTGAGGCTCGGCTCTGCGCTCCTCTCTGCAGAGGAGCTCCCAGTTTGGCGAGTCTAGAAATGGCTCTTTTGTTCTTGAGACACGCCCCTCCCCCACAACGTGTTCGGAGGTGGCTTTCGGTGGTTGGTTCCCAGCTGCCTGCGGCCCCTCCCTGGCCCTGTCCGCGGGGTCCTGGGTGAGCGCTTGGCTGTGTCTCCTTGACTCAGCAAGGGTAGGAGCTTTGCCACATCCTGCAGGCCAGGACCGCCTCCCTGCTGGGAGGGCAGCAGGCCAACCAGCTCCTCCTCGGTCCCCAGAGGTTTCCGTGCCAGGCTCAAGGCTGACTCACTGTCCTGTCTCCCAGCAAGGGCTGGCCCTGCCGGGAACCAGCTCCCGGCCCTGAGGCCAGCACTTCACCCTCCCCTGGACCTGTCCACTCCTGAACCCCCTGGCAGCCCCACCCCATCCTCAGAGGCCCGCCTCACGTGCTCTCAGGCTGAGCACTGACCCCAACTCCTGGAAGAGCAGTGCTGGGCAGACCCAGCCCTGGCCCACCCTGGGCGGGGGGCTCCTCGGGGAAACTGAGAATGGACAAGGGAGGGGCCGCTCACGGTGAATCCTGGCTGGAAGGGCCGCTGGCACAGGGCTGAGGTTACACACGGTCGCAGAAAGGGCTGGGATGTGGGGTCCTGCCTCAGCGGCTGCTGGGTGGCCCAAACAGTGCAGAGTCTTGTCGCCATAGAGGTGACCGGGGTGTGTGTGTGTGTTGGGGCGTTCTGAGGAGCTGGGGTTTGTAACCACAGAGGGGAATCCAAGAAGCAGGATTGGGGTGGGCCCGACGGGGGTCTCCATACTCTCCCCACAGGCACTCAGGGCCTTCTGGGGCCATGGTCACCTCACCTGTGCAGGCCAGTCATGGTCTCTGGGACTTCCTGCTCCCTCTGGAGACTCCCACCCTGCCACCTTCCCCTCCCCCATGCCTCCACTCCCAAACTTCAAGCAATTTCTGGAAGAGGCCAAGATGGATGTGATGAGTCTGCATCTGGGCACATTTATTACCAGACTATTTCCTGGCTCCAAGCTCCCAGGCACTGGTCACGGATTCAGGACGACAGCCTCCACTGCAGCCAGAGCGGGCATCTGCCAGAGCTGGGTGCTGGGCGTAACGGGTGCAGGCAGACAGGCTCTGTCTGCAGCCCTCTGGTCACCACCGAGCCTTAGCCCTGGCTCTAGCAGGGGTCAGCCTCTGCCTCTGTGGGGCGGGGAGTTCACTTCTTCCTGAAGTAGCCGCTTGGTGGCTATGGCTGAATATCTCTGGTCACAAAGCCCCTTCTCCTGAGGCCATCTCGGGAGCAGCACTCCTTCTCGGTGGCCTTGTTGCTCTTCCATCCCAGAGACTTCCCAGCTGACGAGGGCACAAGTTAGGCCCGAGAGTTGGCAGCAAAGATGGGGTGGAGGCCAGGCACAGTGGCTCACGCCTGTAATCCCAGCACTTTGGGAGGATCGCTTGGGGCCAGGAGTTCGAGACCAGCCTGGGCAACATGGTGAGACATCATCTCTACCAAAAATTAAAAAAAAAAAATCAACGAGGTGTGGTGGTTGGTGGTGTGCACCTGTAGTCCCCACTACTCAGAAGGCTGAGGCAGGAGGATCGCTTGAGCCCAGTTTGAGGCTGCAGTGAGCTATGATTGTGTCACTGCACTCCAGCCTGAGTGACAGAGCAAGACCCTGTCTCAAAAAAAAAAAAAAGATGGGGTGGGGTGGGGGTGGGGAGTGGGCAGAAAATGTGTCTTCAGGAGCCTGGATCTTGCCCCTGTTGCCTGGAGCTCGAGGCCCCACGGCCTCCCCCGCCTCCTCCTCCCCACACCTGCTGTCGAAGTGTCTGCTGGAGATTTGCTCCCAGCCCTTTCCCTGGTCCCAGGGGGTTCGGACTTCAACACCTTCACCCAGGATCAGGCCACACAAGGTCACCACCTCCCTCTGCCTGGCTGCTGGCCTGGAGACCAGAAGCCGCCCCTGCCTACCAGGAGAAGAGCAGCACCTCCTTGAGCGTCTTGCGGAGCTCCTGGCTGCGGAAGGCGTAGATGAGGGGGTCCACGATGGCGTTGCAGATGATGAGGGTCAGAAAGAGTTTGAAGTTCTTGAAGATGCAGCTGCAGGTAGGGTGCTGGGGGCAGACGGCTATGAGCGTGAGGTGCAGGAAGAAGGGGCCCCAGCAGAGGAAGAAGACACCTAGCAGGATGGTGAGGGTGGCGGCACCCTTAAGGCCCCAGCCCTGCTGCACCGGGCGCTGCCTCTTGTGCAGCCGGGCGATGCCCTGGGCGTGCTGGCACGCCTGGGTGAGCATGTGCACGTACAGCACCGCCATGAGCACCAGCATGGCCAGGAAGAAGACCACCAGGCAGAGCAGGGCAGCTGTGTGGTCGTAGTAGGCGATGAAGAGGGTGCTGGAGAGGACGCTGGCCGCCCAGACAGCCGCGATGACCCGCCGCACCCGGGGCAGCGTCACGATGCTGTGATAGCGCAGGGCGTAGAAGATGGAGATGTAGCGGTCCATGGCGATGGCGCCCAGAAAGCAGAGGCTGGACACCATGGAGCTGCAGGTGAGCACGTGGATGATGTTGCCCAGCTGCTGCACCACGGTGGCCTGGGCCGCCAGGGCGCCCACCTCCAGCAGCAGCAGGACAGCCGTCTCCAGCACGTTGCTCACGCTCACCAGCAGGTCCGACAGCGCCAGGCAGCAGATGAAGCAGTACATGGGCGAGTGCAGGTTGCGGTTCTTGGCAATGGCAGCCACCACCAGCGTGTTCTCCACCAAGCTCACCAGCCCCAGGCAGAGGAAGAGTCCGTCGGGGACGGACACCTCCAGGCACTGGGGGCCCGTCTGGTTGGCGGCCAGCCTGAGGCGGGGGGTGGCTGTGGGAGTGGAGTTCACGGAGCCCAGCAGGCTCCTCTGGGATCCCTGCGCGGGCATGGTCCCCGTCCAGGGCGCAGGAGTCCAGCCGGTGCCCGCTCCCCAGGCGTCCCGCTCAGCTCGTGGTGCCAGCCTCATTCCACCTGGGCACCCCCAGATCGACCCTCACGCTCACCCTCTCCCTGGCTGGACACTTCCTGGCCAGAACCCTGAGCTCTGTGGCATCGATCCTCTGGGCTCAGGGACTCTCACTCCCGATGTGAACAAACCCCGTCCTCATCCCCCTCCCTGCCTCTTCTCTGGAGGCTGCTCAGGTCCAGACATTTTTACACCTCTCACCTCCACCCAGCTCCTCCGTCACTTGCCTCTGATAGCTCTGCCACCTCCCGTCTCCCTGGGCCAGGGGTGGGCGGAGGTCCCGGGAAGAATGGAGGCTTTCTCTGTGTCTTTGAAGTCATCCCTGGAGCCCCACCTCCTGAGGGCAGCCACATGATGGGCGTGTGCCCGGGATGCGTGAGTGCCCACTGCATCCGGCCTGCCACCAGGTGGCACGCATGGCAACCGAGGGGGCTTCCGTGTACAGCGTGGCTGTCTCCT